ATATATATATATATATATATATATATATATATATATATATATATATATATATATACTCATCAAGTGTCTCCTCAGGTGCATGCAGCTGCTCACCTCTTCTTCAGCAGCTTTGCTGCTGCAGCTAATATAGAAAGGAGACAGCAGCAGCACGGCAGCAGCTGCAGCAGCCGGCACAGCATGCTGCCGAGAGACACGACGCAAAACCCCTCAGCAGCAGCAGACGCAGAGCTGCTGCTGTTGCTGCTGCTGCTGTTGCTGCTGCTGCTGTTGCTGCTGCTGCTGCTGCAGAACGCGACGCGGGGCAGAAACTCCAATATGGCGGCAGCCTTCCGACGAGAGGCAGCAGCAGCTTCTTCTTGCTGCTGCTGCTGCTGCTGCTGCTGCTGCTGCTGCTGCTGCTGCTGCTGCTGCTGCTGCGGGGTGTCCGTCTCGTTGAAGGCTGTGCGGTGTCCATTTTGCCCCACTACTCGCTGCTTCTTTGCTGCAGGACCTGCAGCAGCAGCTGCTGCTGCTGCTGCTGCTGTTGCTGCTGCTGCTGTTGCTGCTGCTGCTGCTGCAGGTTGCCACAGGGGTTGAGAGGACCTGAGAGGAGGTGCTTCTGCGGGCTCCTCGTTGCAGCTACCATTCGCCGAGTTCAGCAGCAGCAGCTGCTGCTGCTGCTGCTGTTGCCGCTGCTGCTGCTGCTGCTGCTCTTGTGCTGCTGGAGACTGCAGCAGCAACTGCAGCAGCTCCTCCGACGTCAGCAGCAACTCAGAGGGGCCCACAGGGGCCCCACCATACCCAAAGAGGCGAACACGGTGGAGCGAATGCTGCTGCTGCTGCAGCTGGAGTTGCTGCTGCTGTTGCTGCTGTTGCTGCTGCAGTTGCTGCTGCTGGTGCTGCAGCAAGAGCTTCCAGGGTACGGCCGCGGGCCCCACAGCAGCAGCAAATGGAGGCAATGCTGCTGCTGCAGCAGCAAAGAGACGAGGAGGCCAAAGACAAAGCAACGGAGCAGCACGCGGGAGCGCAGCAACACGCACTGCCATCTCCTGTGTGCTTTCTGCTGCTGCTGCTGCCGCTGCTGCTGCTGTTGGTGTTGCTGCAGCTGCTGCTGGAGTTGCTGCCTGTACTGCTGCTGCTGGAGTACCTGCTGCTGCTGGAGTTGGTGCTGCTGCTTCTGCTGCTGCAGTTGGGTTTTCTGCTGCTACAGCTGCTGCTGCTGCTGGAGTTGCAGCTGCTGCTGCTGGAGCTGCTGCTGCTGCTGCTGCTGCTGCTGCTGCTTGTCTCCTCCCGCTGCTGGCATCGAACAGCGAGGGGCAAATTCCCAAAAATTTTTCGCGAAATTCTCCGCTGTCGCTCAGACACAGCCGCCACATCCAGTGCCTGCAGCAGCAGCAGCAGCAGCAGCAGCAGCAGCAGCAACAGCAGCAGCAGCAGCAGCAGCAAGAGCAGCAGCAGCAGCAGAAGCAACCACAGCAGGGAATGAAGCAGACGCTAGCACTCTCGATGTAGCGCGAAAACACTGAGACGAATAACAACACCAACAAGGATCAGTAGCAGCAGCAGCAGCAGCAGCAGCAGCAGCAGCAGCAGCAGCAGCAGCAGCAAGTATTGCGTTGAACTGCAGCAGCAGCTGAGGTGACTGCATACTGTAAATCTGCTTTTGTTAGGGGACGGAGTGCGTGCCTCAGGGCCCACAGCTCCAGGCCATCTCCTGGCTGCTGCTGCTGCTGCTGCTGCTGCTGCTGCTGTTGCTGCTGCTGCTGCTGCTGCTGCTGCTGCTGCTGCTGCTCAGCTGCATGCAGCAGAGCAGGCAGCTCTGGGTTTTGTTTAAAAAGGCGATCAAAGAAATCGTGTGGGGCCTGGCGAGANGCAGCAGAGCAGGCAGCTCTGGGTTTTGTTTAAAAAGGCGATCAAAGAAATCGTGTGGGGCCTGGCGAGAGTATGGAGAAGGCAGCAGCAGCAGATACGGTGTCTCTGCTGCTGCTGCTGCATGCGCATACACTGCAGCAAACAAACCCAGAGCAACTACAGCTGGCTGCAGCCAAACACACTGTTGCTGCTGCTGCTGCTGCTGCTGCTGCTGTTGCTGCTGCAGCTGTTTCTGCTGTTGTTGCTGCTGCTGCGGTTGCAGTTCTTGTTGCTGCTGCTGCACTTGTTGCTGCTGCTGCTGCTGCTGCTGCTGCTGCTGCAGTATGAGCTCCGCTCCCTCTTTGATTAAGGAGACAAGCAGCAACGCCTCCTGGGGGCAGCAGACCTCAGCAGCAGACAGACGCACGGGAGAGGAAGGCAGCGGCAGCAGCAGCAGCGGGAGACCCCCGCATATAGAAGCAGCAGCAAACGCTGCTCCGCTCCTCAACCGAATCACTGCTGCTGCTGCTGCTGCTGCTGCTGCTGCTGTTGATGCTTCTGCTGCTTCATACGCTGCCGTTCCTCCTGCTGCTGCTGCTTCTGCTGCTGCTGCTGCTGCTGCTGCTGCAGGCTGGGTGTGGGTACCCGCACAGCGTGAGGTGTACATACACCTGAACTCTGCCTCTGCACATATTTGATTGACCCAGCATTCAGGGGCTGCAACCACAACCCAGCAGGGGCCCCCCCCCTTCTCCTTTAGGGGGCCCCTCTCCCCCTCCCCTGGGGGGCCCCCCCTCTCCTCTGCTGCCGCATCAAGGGCCCCCTGTGCTGCATCGCAGACGACGTGCTGCTGCTGCTGCTGCTGCTGTTGCTGCTGTTGCTGCTGCTGCGGTGCAGCGGAGCTGTCGGGGGTCCCAGTACCCTCTTCAGACCCTGGGGGGCCCTTGGGGNGGGGCCCCCTGAGAGAGAAGAAGCGCAGCGTGTGCTGCTGCAGCAAAGACAGGCAGGAAGTCCCCCCAGGTACCCAAAGCAATAAAAAGGAGACAGCGAGAAGGAGGAGACACCCCGCATGGGGGCCCCCCTGACATGAGCTAGGTTCTGCTGCTGCTGCTGCTGCTGCTGCTGCTGCTGCTGGTGTTGCTGTTGTTGTTGTTGTTGTTGGTGGTGATGGTGGTGGTGGTGGTGGTGTGGTGGTGGTGCTGCTGTTGTTGGGGTGTTTGAGTCGGATTCTTTTTCAGCTGCTGTTCTTGCTGCTGCTGCTGCTGCTGTTGCTGCTGCTGCTGCTGCTGCTGCTGCTGCTGCAGCAACTGTGGGGCCTCGTAAGGGCTCTAAGAGAGGGGTTGGCCCCCATGGGGGGAGATAAAGAGAGAAGAAGAGACAGCAGAGGAGACAAAAAAGGAGACAGAAAAGGAGACAGAAAAGGAGACAGTTGCTGCTGCCTGTGGCTGTCGGCAGCAGCAGCAGCAGCAGCAGCTGCTGCGCGGTGGTGTGTCTGCTTCGTTCTATCTTTTTTTGTCTCCTTCTTTTTTTTCTTTGTAAATAAAACTAAAAAATAAACAGAAACAGCAATGACAACCACAACAACTACAGCTGCTGCTGCTGCTCGTGTCTCTGTCTGCTGCTGAGGCCTGGCGGTCTGCTGCAGCAGCCCAGCCGCTGCTGCGCTGTCTGCTGCTGCTGCTGCTGCTGCAGCAGCAGCAGCAGCAGCAGCAGCAGCGTCATTGCTTGGGGGGGTTATTAGTTACTGTCTCCTCTGAAGACACTGCAACAAAACAAATAAATATTTGTCTCCTTTTTTCTCCTGCTGCCTCTTGCTGCTTCTCTTCTCTCGCCGCTATACATACACCCCAGAGCTGCAGCCTGCGGCCCGCCGCCGCTGTAGCAGCAACACAACAGCAGCAGCAGCAGCAGCAGCAGCAGCAGCGACGACAGCAGCAAGATCAACAAACACTGCAAAGCTAAGACCGTGTCAAAGACAGCAGCAGCAGCGAGAAGAAGGGAGACACTAACAACAGCAGCAGCAGCAGCAGCAACAGCAGCAGCAGCAGCACCAGCAGCAGCAACAAGGAAGAAATAAAGGGCAGCAGCAGCAGCAGCAGCAAGCAGCAACAGCAGCAACAGCAGCAGAACATCCTCTGTCTCTTCAGTATAACGAAGATGTGTGACGACCAGACCCACCACCACAACCACCACAACCACCAGCAGCAGCAGCAGCAGCAGGAGGTGTCTATGCAGCAGCAGCAGCAGCAGCAGCAGCAGCAGGAGCAGGAGCAGCAGCAGTATAAACTAGATATATCTCCTGTGACGACGGAGGATATATACGTCCCCCCCCGCCTGCTGCTGGGCCCCGGTCCCTCCAACTTCTCTCCGGGTGTATGTGCAGCTCTGTCTCTGCCTGCAGTGGGTTATATGGATATAAGTTTATTAAATATAATGAGAGATATACAAGAGTTGCTGCGTTACTGCATGCAGACAAAGAACGAAGCAACAATAGCTGTAAGCGGTACAGGCTCAGCAGCAATGGAGGCAGCACTGTGTAATGTTATAGAAAAAGGAGACAGTGTATTGGTGCTTGTGTCTGGGTATTTTGGTTGTAGACTAGCAGAGATGGCGGGGAGATATGGTGCAGCTGTATATACAGCTGAGATAGAGTGGGGTGGTGTATTTACACTGCAGCATATAGAGCTGCTGCTGCAGCAGCACAAACCCTCTCTCTTATGTGTTGTTATGGTGGAGACATCTACGGGGGCCCTGCAACCCCTAGAAGGTATAGGGGCCCTATGTAGAGAATACAACTGTCTCCTTTTGGTTGATGCTGTGACTGGGTTGTGTACTTCTCCTCTTTTTGTCGATAGGTGGGAGATAGATATATGTTATAGTTGCAGCCAGAAGGGCCTCAGTTGCTGCCCTGGTGTGTCTCCTCTTACTGTGGGGCCCCGGGCCATAGAAAAAATAAAAAAAAGAAAAAGTAAAGTAAGTAATTGGTATCTAGATCTGCTGCTGTTGCTGCAGTATTGGGGAGAAGGAGACAGCCGCATATATCACCATACACCACCTGTCTCTCTTCTTTATGCATTGAGAGAGTCCCTACGTTCTATAAATAAAGAGGGACTGGAGACAGTATGGAGGAGACACGAGGAGACAGCATGTTTGTTTGTCTCTGAGCTAAAAAAAAGAAATATAGAGGTGTATATACACCAAAAAAAACACAGAAGTCCAGCTCTTACTACTGTTGTTGTCCCCCATCAATACACTGCTGCTGCTGTTGCTGCTTCACTCATAAAAGAACAAATAGAGATAGGTTTAGGGATAGGGAAACTAAAAAATAAAATATGGAGGGTTGGGTTTATGGGGTATAATGCTAATACACAAAATGTTTATACTCTGCTTACACACCTAGATAAACACCTTAATATACACAATACACAGTAATATATATATATATATATATATATATATATATATATATATATATATATATATATATATATATATATATATGTATGGGGTGCAGCAGCAGGTGTTGGTGGAGCAGCAGCAGCAGTGGGAGGCGTTGCAGCAGCAGCAGCAGCAGCGGGTGTTGCAGCAGCAGCAGCAGCAGCAGCTGGC